TGATACATATTCGATTCCGTTGCCCGCACAAGTCTCCTATAGCGTTGCAAGAGTGTCTATAGATGTAAAGAAAAGTCTGAAAGAGAATTGTTAAGTGGAGACGGTTCCTTGGACCTACCATACCGCTACGCGGTTCCGATTGGTACAAGAGTGTGGTTGTATACACACACACACGCACACACACACACACAGGCCGTCACTTCAGTTTGACGGTCCCTTTATCCAATTGTATAAAGCTAAGATATCTGAGATCCAACCGCTTCGGATCTAGACTACCCCACAGCTTGCAGTCCATCTACCTATACACATACGAATGATAAGATGGTTGGTGAACCATTTCGGGGCTTGTTTCCACCACTTGTTTGCTAACTAGGCCTAAGTAAGCGATTTACATAAATCTATTGACCTTAAACTTATATTCTAGAACACTACCCCATTCATTTTTAGTCGAAGCTTCGCCAGGCGCACTGAAACAGTAGTTGAACACAAATGAGTAGTGTTAATCCTTTAGTGCGCTTGGTGAGGCTCGAGAAACAACGGTGGGAATATACTATCACCGTAAATCGCTTGCTAAGGTCTTATTCGCCGAGAAGTGGGTCGAAGCACTAGCCGTAGCCGTACATACAGTAGGGAATATTCCGGTGATGGACAATTAACCGGGAGTGCAGATTGTTTTATCCATATTTGGCCACCTACCGCCTTGCTTGGTCTATTGGCTGTAGTTATATGTCTTATATATACAAACACCTGTATAACCACATTTTATTTATATGCGCGTCACTTATACTATTTTATCTGATCTTCCACGTATCATTAGGGTCTGGTGATGGGTTCAACTGTTGGACTGATCTTGAATCACTACGTACTGCCTCATTAAACGAGGCAACTCTTTGGAAGTAATATACGAGTCTCAATAAAGAACATTTGCAATACAGCTCGCTTGCTCTTGTCAGACAACGCCTATATGAATACTCTCAAGTGTACGTCCATCCGGTTGAGGCTCTGAAATGGGTTCTCTGGCTGCCCGAGTGCACGCGTGTGCATGGAATATGTACGACAGACAGTAGTGAACAATTATTCTATTGTAGTAGTTCAACTTCTCTAGGGTCTAAGGTTCTAAAATGGCGACTACTGTACTGTCGCATCATACTCTTGTGATATGTGTGATGTACCAGAGTTCGTCTTTAAGGTTTAGGAGTATAGGGTTTAGTGTGATATGTGTTGCATACCTAAGTTCGTCTACACATCCCCTCATGCACAAGGTATGATCTGTCTCTAACCACAGTTTATCGTAACCTTCATCTGATTGATTGATGAAGTACACAGCCAGTCAAGAGTACGGCACTGACAGTTCGGTACTTGCGTAGAATAGTCTTTCAAATACAAGTAATTTGACCCAAACTTGTGAACACAAATCAATTCGATTTCGATTAGGGTTTATAAAACCGAGAAATACGCGACAACCCGTTAGTGACCGCTCAATTCATTCGGTAGAGGTGCTGCTTCGAAGGGGCTATCTCCGGTCCACAAGCGCAAACGGCTGCAAAGGCGGATTGAGAGGCGTGTTTCGGTGATGAAAATTGGCTTTATAGATGCAAAATCTGAGAGAAACAGAGAGAAACATAAATAGATTTGCAGGGTCAGTAGGTAAACGTCCTGAAGGCTGACTTCAGGACCGGCGAGGTGGACTGGAAAACCCCCTCAATCTGTGCAATAAGCGAAATGTAAAAGAATCGGTGTTAACTGATCGCATGCATTGGCGTGGCCTATCTATGCGGCGTGTTATGACTTGTGAGTCTGCGATGTATTTGGCTACTGATTGGAATTGCTTTAAAAGTGCTCGCGCGCCATTAAGGTGTAGCTGATACTAGACGACACGGGAAAACTCGATCCGGATGATGAGGTCTGACATACTAAGTCATGCGGTTGCATATCCATATTCGTTTCAAGCTCAATGAAGTTCGGCAATAAAAGAGAGCGAGAGAGAGAGAGAGGTGTGAGCACCCATTATTTTGTATCATTTTCTATATATGCCAATGGGTATTTGAAGCTCATTAGACCGACCTTCCACTTCCACCGCAGGAGCTTATACCTAATTGCTTTTGTTTCCAGCCTCCTCTTTCCACAATCACTAAGAGAGGGCAAAGGCAAGCCCTATACGCCTCACGACTAGGAATCACTAATTCTACAGACCCATTATTCTTTAGAACGGCAACGCAAATCTGACAGTGAAATGTGTAGCGTAGAGAGTAGTGATGGAGTGGGGGGTGTTGTACACATGTGTAGCGTAGACAGTAGTGATGGAGTGTGGGGTGTTGTACTCATGTGTAAAGTAGACACGGAACAAGTCGTCTTTTGACACTCTAACCTCTTCAACTCGCTCTTGATTTGCCCTGTAAGCATCGTATGTATCCATGAATTGCTCATCATTCCACAGAACTAAGTAGAACTGTCTATTCACCCTCTATTGCATACCTGTTCACCCTCTATTGCATATTTCTATGAGAATATATAAATGATACCAACCATACAGGTATCTTTAAATACTGCTCTAAAATCAGCGGCAGGATAGCACCTCAATGGAATATGGCAACGCTGACAACAGCAATTTGGATATAAGGCGAGAATGAGCGTGCTTGTAGGTATGGGCGGGTCAACCACTCCCCACTATGCATGGCTTTCGGTGTGGTGCCCATAGACCATTCGTGATATAAAATATTATCGGAATCTTAAATTGCGACATCCAAAACAAATGAATTTATGGCAGAAGCTATTTACACTACTATTTACTTTTTATTACTTTTGATTATTTACGCTACCACCCGTAACTTTATGCCCGATTACTTGCCCGATTACTCAGTTGCTCTGGTCGGTCTTGTCTTACTCCGGCCTGTACGGTGCAAAATATGTGACAAATGGTTGGAACATTGAAATAATAGTTATGATTAAAGAGTATGTAGCAGACACCGTCGAAAGCAAATAACTCACTTAGAAAGGTCGATATGTAGACAGCCGTGTACAGCTTTGGAGAGTCGAGCAAGTAACGGAAGCTACGAAACCCTAAACCCTAAGCAAATGGAAATCTCCATGTTTCTGCCTAGGAAGGGTAGATATTCCAAACCCAAGACCTGACGACGACCAACAAAAACATATACGCAATGCTAACACAGTCCTATACTACTTGCATGGAGGGCAAACACTCTCCTGGGGCCAAGCTCATATGATCTGTCTATCACCCGTGTAAATTTAGGACAATATTGAACCTAAAAAAGAACAGCGCACACCCGTAACCAAGTGAACTGGACATACCGGGTCCCTTAGGTTTAACAATACGCTTCGTGGCTTCCACCACTGGTGGGTGCACCTCAGTATGTAGGGCCTCGTGTGTGAGTTCACTCCCGTCGCTTACTTCCATCTAGATAAATAATTGTTTAGGGTGGTATAATCAGTCAAGGACAATACAAGGCTGGGGAGACATGCCTAGGTTTGCTTCTTGGGTTTGAAGACAGTTCGGTACCGGCAGAAGCCCTTTTAGTTGTCCACACTCACACACAGAGGAATGAGCACTCGTAAACATTAAAGCCAATGAGTTGTCCAAATTACGTACCAAACCCCCTAAACCCTGAAAACCCTAAATACACTAAACATCGAGAAAGTGTACACCAAAACAAATCCGCGCACAACACCGCATTATTTTCTCATATACTTATGTAGCTGGAAGTTGCACAAAAAAAAAGGGAGGGGGGGTGGACAGTGATTCGAAAGGAGTGGTTTGAGGTCTACTTAGCACCCATATACGTTACACGTGTACACTTACATAATATAAATTGTGCAGCTAAAGAGAGGAATGGTATGTGGCTTCATTAGCGCCCTTATACCGTACACGTGTACACTTACATAATATAACTTGTGCAACTAAAGAGAGGGATGGTATGTGGCTTCAATAGCAACCCTTGTACTGCACACTTATACGATACAATTAGTGCGTCCCACGTACTCGTAAATACAACAAGACACGACATGCACGTACCTTATGTGTAGCAGTTACGCCACAGTCAACGGCGATCGAGATCACTTCGTTCTTACACGACGCATACAGCATACGCTCTTTGATGGGGCAGTTGAAGCCAGGACAACTGTAGATGAAGACTGAGTGCCAGATAGGATGCAGAGGGAGGGATGCCGTTAGTAGGAGGTTACTGTTGGTGTTGTTGTTGTTTAGGTGTGGCATTGTGGTGACGGGCCGTTCTAGTGATTTAGTCGCATAATATCAAGGGATATATAT